CGTAAACAGTCCTTAATACGTCCATCTCGTTTGTTCCCCGCCCACAGCCAGTTCATATTAAGTTCAGATCGGGTGGATTAGATTAGGCAGTCCAAGCCAGTCCGTAGTCAGTTTAAACCCATTATTAACTAGTTATACCTCGTTCCCAATACGTCCAAACCCATTCTAACTAGTTCGCCACTTGTTCTTACTAGTTTTAACCCGACCATCCATTTCAAAGGCAGTTCAACTCTTCCTCATCTCGTTCTGAGTGCGTTCGCACGCGCTCCTAGAGCGTGTGCAATCCCGTCCTGACTCGGGAGTTATAAAAACCCAGAGCGTTCTCGCCATTCCTCATTCCCGTTTAACTTCAACGCTTTCGGCTTTGCAGATCAAGACGTCCAAGTCAAGCACTTATCACACCAAAATAGTTTCTCACTACGTTCTGGAAAATGTTGCCAAACGGGCTCAAACTGTGTGTGAACGGAGTGAACGTATTAGCAACTATTTACGATCTTTTTAAGGACTTCAGGACGGGCTCGGACTGGCTTGGACGGGAAGGGTGGTCTAGAACTTTGAGCCTGTTCAAAATTATCCCCGTCCTGCAATTGGACGGAGTGACAACGTACTTAAAACGAGATGGACGTACAACGAACGGAAATGCCGTACTATGAACGGAATTGCCGTACTTCGATCCTACTAGGAACGTGTTACCACGTGATGTGGTCGAGCATCAATGAGGAAGAACGCGCTGGGTTTGTATAGCCCTCGAACCAGGACGGGATTGCAAAGCACGATAAAAGCGCGTTCGAACGCACTAAGAACAAGATGAGGACGAGTTGAACTGTCTCTGAACGGGGTGGTTGGGTTATAAACTCGTTAGAACAAGTTCCGAACTAGTAAAAATGGTTTGGACTGCTTGGAAATATCAAATTTATCCGATTTGAACTTGATATGAACTGACTGTGGACGGGTACAGACGAGTTGGACGTATTGTGGACTGTTAATGAACGAACTAGGATCGTATTAGAGACATTAGTCCAGTCCGAGCCCTTCCATAAAGTCCTTAAACAGTTGTTATTACGTTCAACTCCGTTCGCACACAGTTTGAGCCCGTTTGGCAACATTTTCGAGAACGTAGTGAAAACTAATTTGGTGTGATGGGGCTTTTGAGATACTTTATCTAGTTCTGTTATTCTTTTAGCAATGTAGAACCCTGTCAAACAAACAAAAGATCCGTAAACATAAGGTTTTCTCAATGTATTCAACATCAGCTTAATAGTTAAATTCCCTCTTAGGTTCAAGTATAGCATACTATAGCTAATTATGTAAACGTTGTTGTATATCAACGTATCAGGGTTTCCATTTACTTCATGAATACTTCATGAATACAATTATGTTGTATAGGGATGTTAACTTTTTTATAACAATCTGCTGTCGATATATTTATCGTCATAAAAATTCTTTCTTGCATTTGGGTTAAGTGGTGTTTGAGTTTTTGCTCGCTATTTGAGATAAACACCTTATGCTCCTGCAGTGGACACATGGGCAGAGAGAACTATAACATGTAACAAGAAGTTAGCATAGCACGCGGCACAACTTAACCTTTTAAAAGGATTTAAGACAAAAGAAGCATATGGGGGGAGGGGGGAGGGTTTGGGGTGGGGGTAGATGTTACCCAAATATAATTCAAACGTGGTTTATTTCTATTTCGATACAAATGTTGCTGAAATGACATAATTTTTCGAGATCTTTCCTCAATCTTTAGTTAAGTAATACTTTTGTATGCGTTTGTTGGAAAAATGGCAAATTCCTGAATAAAGATATAAAAAAGTAACCTGCCTTTGTCACAAAATAATGAGGTGTCAAAATTTGCTCATCTGACCGTTATTAAATGCCTAAACCCCTGAACTTCCTGGGCTCTGCTCCCTGAACCCAACCAAAGGCCCTAAGGCGGACCCATGATTGCTCATCTGACCGTAATTTATTGCCTAAAACCCCTTAGCCCCTGTGGACCCCACGCCACTTCGTAACCTGCCATTGTCACAAATAAGGTATCATAATATGCTCATCTGACCGTAACTTATTGCTCAAAACCCCTCAGCTTCCGGGGGCTCCGCCCCCTGGGCCCTACTTCAATTTACGCTCTTCCTGATCGTATAATACTCCACTTTGAAAAAACGTTCCGCGGAGCCTGCATGTAACGTGTAAGAGTGGTGGTGATGCATATTTTTCTTCCCCCCCCCACCCCTTCCAAACGTTTTTTGCTCATTACGTCACTGCTCCGGAAGGTGAGCCCCCTGGAATGTTTGCCCCCCAATCCCAAACTGCTTTCGGCGCGCCTAGAGGGTGCCTTTTTATAACCACACTTTTCAACCGTGTCAATATTTTCACGTGTCTTGTCGAAAATGTCCTATTTGTAGTTTGACAATGAAGGCGGGAAATGTGATAGGAAAACCCAATATGAAACATTTGGTAAAGTTAAATACAAAGAAATAGTGAGATACATCGTCTTCATTTTCCAGTTCAGTCAGCATGCGTGTCTTCAAACCAAAAATTCTGCTGGTTCTATATAGGGCCAAAAAAAATGTTGTATTGCCCTTCAGGCGCCAAAACATGGGTTGGTCGGTCGGATTTTGTATTTATTTTTTCCTTTTTGGGCTGATATTACTTTTCAGTTTTGAATGCTCTAATACATTTTTTTTTAAACGGTAACAAACAAAAATTAGATTTCAAGATTTTGGGGTCGGTCGCAAAGGGCAATACAACATTCATTTTTAGGCATAATGAGAACACGATTGCACGTTTAAATTTGTAATTTATTTCAAATATTGGCATATTTTTTCAGAAATGACAGAGGTACTTTCGGCGACCGCGCATGGATAAAAGAGCTCCAATCCAATAAAATCTTTAAAAAACTGATTACCTCCTTGTTATTCAAAAGGCTTTATTTCTCATCAGGGTCCTCTAAAATCTTTGAAAATTTAAGAGAATATCGATCCATTATCTCTCCCAAAGGAAAACAAGTTTTGGGTAATCTTAAGTTTTCTATTTAATAAAACAACGCTTTTAAAACATATATTTGGGGAAAATTCGGGGTAAAACGGCAGAATCCTCCTAGGCCTCCCTAAGAATTGGAAAAGGGTCATTACTCATTCTGCATGAAAGAAACAAAGAGAAAGAAAGGAACAAATAATGATAATAATAATAATAAAAGTGATGATGCAATAATAATTATAATAATAACAACAAAAACTATAATAATAGTAGTGATAATATTAATAAGAATTGAAATATTAAATGTAATATTTAAATTTAAGTATGAAATCATCAATTATAATAATAATAACACTGAGTAAATTCATACGGTACCATTGTGAGAAAGAAATGATAAATAAATTAATATAATGGGCGTAAAACACATTGAATTAAAAATGTCTCGAACAAATAAAATAATGTTAATCGTTCTTCTATTACTTTTGATACTCTATATAATACCCCCAGAGATCCCCGTTCGTCTTGTTATAGACACACACAATATAGCGAGAATTATGATATGATAGTAAACAAAGGTTGGGGTGTATGCTTTAATAATCATATATCCGTGTTTACCGATAGGCTATTATTATCCATGATTTCATCTGTATCTTGGTCAACATATGAAGAGCTGAATTCCAAAAAGGAGCTATTCCGAGTTCGATAGAAATAACTTTCAAAAAGAAAAATATGGGGATCTGAAACATGGGAATCAAAATCGTTATATTGCATGTTACTAAACACTTCTTCGAAAGGTAAAAAGACAATTGGTTACACATTTATGTTTCATTCCAAAAGGCACTACATTCTCTAAGGCGATTACAAATTTGCTAATTAAAAACATTTTTCCTCAGGCAATGTATTATTATTTTGATAGATATATTACAGTTACCAGCCTAAAACGATGATCAATGCAAAATTGTAATAAATGTAACATAAATTGCTTGTATTTAGCTTTCCAAAAATTGATTTTAATTTTTTTTCAGTTTTTTGTTAGCGACTTTTGGAATCATTAGGGATCATTCTTTATTGTATTACTCAATCATTTTTTGTTCCACAAATTTGTTCCACAAAGATGAAAAAACACATGCTGTGCTATTAAGTTCTATGTATTTTGCTTTCAATTTTAATTTGTTGAACGTACAAAACGGACGGTCGACGGAATTTTATTTCAAAAGGCGCTAAATCTACAGATGATAAAATCAGTAAAATTTCTTTACAAATATTACTCCATCGCTAAAAATAGAGGTAAACAAACATTACGAATATCATCTCATGGAGGCGTGGCCTAGCCTGTAATCGAGCCAATCATAATCATTTCTTATAAATAGTGGCACAGCTAGATAGAGTGGCAAGGAGGGACGTGCCCCCCGGATCGACGGGTAGAAAAAAAAAATGAAATTAAAGGTAAAAGCGAGAAAAGAGAAAAATGGAAAGGAAGAAGGAGAGGGGGTAGACAAATAAATATCAGTAAAAATTCTTTACAAATATTACTCCATCGCTAAAAAAAGAGGTAAACAATCATTACGAATATAATCTTATGGAGGCGTGGCCTAGCCTGTAAGCGAGCCAATCACAATCATTTCATATCAATGGTGGCACAGCTAGATAGAGTGGCAAAGAGGGACGTGCCCCCCGGATCGACGGGTAGAAACAAAATGAAATAAAGGTAAAAGCGAGAAAAGAGAGAAATGGAAAGGAAGAAGGAGAGGGGGGAGACAAAAAAAGGATAGACGCATCGATCACCTCCCCGCCGGATACCTCATTTTCCGAGGTAGATCGGTGCCCCAGGCACCCCTTTTGATCCACTGCCCTTTTCATGAATGGATCACGTAGGCCTACGCTTCGCCTTTGTGATGACATACACTCCACAGCTCCTTCTTGCCAACCAATCATGGCGAAGAGATCTATTCTGAATTTGCATAAATCATATTGCGTGCAGTCTATTAAAATATGGATATGTAACATCTCAATAGAGCGCGTTCAGTCTTGGTGGAACCTTTCGTTTTGAAGGAAATAAGCTTCAGTCTGTCTGTCCTCTTCTTCATTGCAAACTTACATAACCAGGTAAGGAATTCTAGATTATTTGTTTTAAATCTAATTTATTTGGAAAATGTATTCAAATTGTTTTACTTTTCCATTACTTTTACAATTGTGGTTAATGATAATGGGTTCTTGTACACCGCTCATGTCACTCTTGGTGCCCCGCAACAGAGATATCAGTAGCTGTAGGCCCGCACAGTTAATGATAAAAGAAAGTAGAACGAGCTGAAAACCCGAAAAGCGAGGCGTGTGTTTCGAGCGCTCCATTGGACATAGAGACACGTGACTTTAAGATTAATGCCTACGTTTCTTGATATAACGATTGTATAAAGAGAAATACAGTATTATGGGGAGAAAACGTGAAGGAAATTTAGACATTAGAGGAAAAAGTTCATTTTAATATGTTAATAGTAGATTACGTATGCATTATTGTTTTGAACCTAGCTGTCTGGCTAGGTACACATATGGCTTCGACAGGGAAATGGTGTTCATCTTTTTTTTAAATGCGGAATAATAAGTAAAAATGTAATGCCCAAAAGAGCGTCACCGATTGAATTTTGAAAATTAGTGCCCAAAGCTCCCATTTTGTTTTTCTTTTAGGGGCCCGCCAGTGTTTTTATGCATTTCAGAACAAAACACTTGGCTGAAAATTCCGTTTGGTGCAGAAAACCCACAATGAACGATACAACGAACTATGGTATAGGCCCTCCGAAGACTACAGGCTAGGGACCCTATAAGTTACTCCATAAAGCCCCTTTCACACCGGATCTGCGTAGAGTTGCGTAGTGTTGCGTACCGACTACGCCGAAGTTAAGCTGCGTACTCATGAATAAATTGATGCTTCGGCGTAGTCCCTGCGTAGGTTTTGCGTAGGCTTGCGTATAGTTACGTACCCTGTGCGTAGGCACCGCGTACCCACGGCGTAGGCAATTGGCGTAGGGTTACGTACGCTTGCGTAGGCCTGGCGTAGGGTTGCCAAAAGTGGCATTTGGTACACGGTTTTGACCGTTATATGTTCAATTTTTTAGTAGGTATTAACAACTGCTGAGGCTATTTTGCAGTAATGTTAATTTGTTCAAGATATTATTTTCCAAAAAATGCAGACATTTTTGTGGATGTACTACATTTTTATACTCATTCACAAGGGTAATAAATGAACTTTCTGTTGAATGTACATTGCAAGGTCACGTGATGTGATTCGATACCTCAAAACGCCAACAAAAGAGCGCTTATTTTGATTTGTGAATAAATGTGGACAGAAGTCTGATATTTGTTGACCATATCCCTTTTTTTCACTCATTTGTAAATATCATTCCATAACAGTTTCCTGAAAGTTTAAAGACGATAGCTGTTGTCCTTTGTCCGTAGCGTATATGTGTGTGACAATGTAATGATATAAATGTTAGTCATTTATTACTCCTGACATACACACTCACTCAGTCTCACTAACAGAGTGAGACAAAATTATTTCTTTGCTTATTTTAATTAAACAAAATTATTTTACAAGCATACAAACAGTGCCATAAACGTACACACAATCAAACAAACCGACACAAATACATACAGATTTCCACAAAACATAATAACATTTCGCAAGATTATTGTAGTCTTGTATGGGGAGGGGCCAGCCCGTGTCATTTAAACAGGCTACATACTTTACAAAAGAAAGCCATTCGTCTATGCTCAAACTCCCATTATCTTGCCCATACCCCGCCGTTGTTTAAGAAACTGAATATGCTAAATTTCTCTGATAATATAACAATTAAAACAGGAGTTTTTATGTACCGTTATTCAAATTTTTTGTTACCACCCGTGTTTGATAATTACTTTGTTACAGTTGACAAGAAACATAATGTTAACACAACACAAAAAAATAACATTTTCTTGCCATATGCACGTTTAAAGTTACGAAAGGTAAATTCTATTCAACAAAAAGGGGGGAAATTATGGAATAATATTGAAAACTCTATCAAACATGTAACCACTCTTAGTTCTTTCAAGTCCAAATTTGAGTTGCGTCTACTTACCACATATATATGACTTCCTATGATTCTGTATTCTGTCGTTCTGTATTATTATTATTATTGTGTTTTAGTTTGTAATGTCCTGTGTACGTCTTGCATTTTGTTTTATTGTGAATGTTAATGTTTTGTATTTTCCACATCTGTCATTTATGTTATGGGTCCACCCACTTCTCTCAAGCCATCGGCTTTATCGGGTGTAAATGATCCAGCACAATTCTCAATGTATATATATTGTATGTGATTTTTTATGAAATAATAAATTGAAATTGAATTGAATTGAAGAGGCATCAGTTTGTGAGTCTTATCTCTGTTTATTATATCAACAGCCTGAGATGTCAACATCACAAATTGAATAAACCATAACAAGCAAAACATGTCAGTCTGAACATTTTTGTAGTAGTACAAACAGAATTACAAGCAAGAATACAAAATAAAGTCAAAGAAACACTATTTCTTCATGAACAGAATAAATGTGAGAACGCACACATGTAAACAAAAATAGCATTTCCCTTCAAAATAATGATCAATACCTGCCAAGTTTACATCCAGGTATATACAACAACAAATCTTTATACGTTTTTAATGCTTCGTCGGACTGGCGTAGGGTAGCGTATTGTTGCGTAGGCTTGGCGTACAGTTGCGTAGGCTTGGCGTACAGTTGCGTAGTTTCTGCGTAAAAAGTCTACGCCGAAGGTACGCGAAAAAAATTAAACATGTTTAATTTTTTGCGTTCATCTCGCGTACCCATTTGCGTCCCTCCACGTACAGTTGCGTAGGGTTGCGTACGATCGGCGTAGGGTTGCGTACGATCGGCGTAGTCGCTACGCAACTCTACGCAACTCTACGCAAGGCCCGGTGTGAAAGCCCCTTTAGGGCCCCAATAATATGCAACTCTAGACAGTCGAGAGGAATGCTTTAAAGATATTTTGTCCCTTTTGCAGCCGACACCAAAGTATGTAGAACCAGGAAGCTGTAATGAATGGAGATCCCGTCCAAGAGGCCCCGTTGAAGTCATCCGTGACACCGCGCGTCTTTTGTTTCCCCTACCATAATCCCCTTAATCCCCCTCCGAAAACGCACAGCTCCCTAGTAGCACTAAGTCCTCCCTTTCCACACACAGCCGAGCCCAGCGAGCACGGCGGCTTTTGCTTTGCCGGTCCGTACTTGGGGTGAATAGTGGTGATAACTTGACAACTTCTAGCCCTCAATCAATAAATGCGCAGACATATAACACAATTTCATTTAGTTCTTCACGAAGATAAACCTTTGGACTACCTTCCTAGCTATGCACAAATTTCGGAAATTTTCGGAAAATGTCAATAATTAGATGAGAAAATCATGATGATGAACACCTTTCATTCGCTCTAACTCACAATTTCCTTGGTTGATTTCGCTGGTTGAAATGGCTCAGTAGAGCTATCCGAGGACGGAAAAAGCAATTGATAACTAACCAAAATTGCATTAGTCATATGTTGTGAATTCTGTTTTTTATATGTTATAACTAAATACATCTTCACTGAACATAACCTAATTTTTCGGTGCCACGCATGGCTTCAAAGCTCGATGCTTTTATATTTGTATTTGAAATACAAGTTTATGGTTGCAATGAATAGAAAGGAGTTCGATATATCTAAAGTGAAACGAAAATAACTTTAATGAGTACGTTTTATGATCGAAAAAGAAAATAAGAATTTAATAATGTGAACACCACGCTTTGTGAAATATATTTTTTAATGTGAATGATCATTTCTCTCAAATTCAGGGATGCAAATATGACGTACAAATAACCCTTCTTCATTAAAAAAGAAGAAACAAAAAAAAAAGCTTTCGGGGTCAAATACAAAAAATGAATTATGCATACTACCCCCCCCCCCCCCCCCCCACTGAGCGAAATGTTGGTAGGCTCGATTTTCACATTTTCGGGGTCATATACCAAAAAAATGATGCTCACTACCCCCCCCCCCCCCCCCCCCATGAGCTCTATGGTACTGAGCTACTTTTCTATAATGATAGCAAGCTCTCGAGCTTTCGTGGGTTATCTTGTTCAAGCTGACTAAGCTCAAAAATCAAAAGAAATTGTTCGTTTTTTCATTGACGTAATGATGGTGCTCTCATTTGTATTATGATGTTGATAAGAACATGTTCTTTTTTTCTGCTAAGTGCACTGTCTGTTTACCATTGTTTGGCAATATTGAATGAGCTATAAATGGTTTCATATGAAATGGAAACATATCTTGCTGAAACGAATCTAAGTGGAAGACAATTCAGCAAGTTCGAGAAAATGTGTTTTTATTTCATCAGTTTTGTGTGTGTTTATGTTTATCCCTCATTAGAAAAATTACCATGGAAGCCATTGTAAAACTATGGTAAAAATGTGGTACCTTTGGTATTGATGTTGTTTAATTTCTTTTTAGAATCATCTTCTGTCATATAAATTCATAACAATTTGAATAGAACACAGAATATGACTGATTTCTTTTTCTATACATATTTTGCTTTTGCTTTACTTTTTAGAGGGCCGGGTTGGGGGGGGGGGGGGAAGATGTCAATATAAAGTTCTGCATGACGTCAATCACATCATAAAGTTATGGAGTGTATCATTATGTTTGATATTGTGTTATAAAAGAACCATGTACTAGAAGAGTAAACTAAATGAAAAAATATAGATCTTAGAAATAATCCTTAAAAACTAACCATTTGCACATGTTGTCTTTTCAGAAATCTCTACTGTTTTTGCTGAGACAAGGTAAAAACGCTTCAGAATGGATAAGATTTCGTTGATCTTTTTACTGGCAGCAGTCTTTTCTTTCGGTAAGATACTTCCACTCCTTGAAATAATTTTAACAGTTTTGGGTGCAATTCTCAAGTCACATTTGTTACTCTCCACAAGGCGCGGATACAGGGGGGGGGGGGCAGCGGGCCCTGCCCCCCCCCCCCTGGTCAAAAAAAGGAAACAAAAATTAATTGTGACTAGAAATTTGTCTCTCTTTTTTTTTGCTCAAGGGGGGGGGGGCTGGGTGGGATGTGGGGGTGTTGAGCGAAATAGCGACCGGCACGATTTTCAAATTTCCGGGGGCAAAAAAGAAGAAAAAATAGTACTCACTACCCCCCCCCCCCCCCCCCCCCCCACCAATCCAAATGAGCGAAATATCGGCCGGCACGATTTTCAAATTTCAACACACTAAATTTCAAACTGATTTCAAAGGTGGGCCTCCCCCCCCCCCCCCCTCCCCCTAATAAATCCCGGATCCGCGCCTGCTCTCCACCAAGGTGTCAATGGGTAACTTGTAATTGCTTTTCTGGGTAAACAAAATTAGTATTATAATGATTTCTATTGATATCATTATCATTATTACTATTGTTATTATTACTCCCAGCTCATGTCGGCGAAGCTGCGACATCATGCTACCAATGTGTGTACATCACTGGCGGTGGAAATTCGAATGACGCGAGGTGCTTGGACCCATTTGACAGAAGCTCAGGAGTAACCAACGTCACCACTTGCGAAAATGGTTGTGTTGTAAGTCCAGTTTTTCTTTCTGTCCTCTATCCTTTTTTAAGGCCCGCTTTAATTTCTTTTCATTTGTTATCTAACAATTTTTTTTATGAATTAATTAAGTTTTAAGCCTCTCTAGTGCCTGTTCAAATGCCATTTTATTTAACAAAAATGTGTGTTGAAATTTACCCAATAGCTCTTCTATGTAAATAAAAACAAAACATGGAACCTAGGCTCTCTTCATTTGTGAAAATCAAGGGATCAAGTATGTTTGGCCTTATCCGTTTATGATAAAGCTGATTCACTGTCATAAGTATGATTACACTATGACATGATTTTTTAGGGGGAAGGAATTGGATACGGTTGATTATAATGCTTATGTAGGCAATATAATGCAAGGTTTTGTTTTTAAAGGTTCAACATTAGAAAGAGTTCTTAACCTTCTGTAACCTGGCTAAATTCTTTGACTATATTCCTCCAAAGTGCGTTAATTTCAGCATCAGTTGAAGAAGAAGTGAACAGAAAGCCGTTTATGCCAAAAATTTGCAACTCCACTGCTATGCTACTGTCAAAGACGTACGAGAGGCTCGCGCTTCCCCCCGGGATTTTTAGAGTCTCGATTTTCGAGCAATCATCACATTATTTGGGCAACGACATATTAGGGTGCCTAAAATATCAGTTTAATTAAAGCACATTATTTGGGCAACAACATATTACGGTGCCTAAAATATCAGTTTAATTAAAGCACATTATTTGGGCAACGACATATTAGGGTGCCTAAAATATCAGTTTAATTAAAGCACATTATTTGGGCAACGACATATTAGGGTGGCTAAAATATCAGTTTAAATGAAGATGCCCGAGTATACTATTTGTATACCCAAGCTTGTGAATTTTTATGATGAAATAACATTTCAAAATTATCAAAGTGTTCATCTTTGCTCGCTGGCGTCACTTGCTCACGAATTCATATAAAAAGGATGAACTTTGGCAACCAATACCAGAAAATCCCCCTATTCGGCCGGAGTATATTTTTATCTTTACTTCGATGAAGCGTCTCATGATTTATTTTTCTTCTCTCGCTCGCTTTGGACGGAGTACAATGACATAAAAATCATAATCCAAACGCGAGTTCTAAATGCAATATCAACATAACAAAAGTTGAAATGAATATGACTTTGAACAATTTGTGATGAGAATAGAGTTATTTTTTGTTATGCATTTGTATCTAATCCCCTCTCCCTCTCTCTCTCTCTTCCTCTCTCTCTCTTCTCCTCTCTCTCCCTTTGTTTTACACAATTACTTTGAGAATCCATCCAAGGGTCAGAATTTGTCCTGCCCCACGGTATGAAAGTGTGCAATTCAAAGGCTGATAATTAGAATGAATACTTCCTTTTTTTTTTATTGGTCGTTGTCAGTTTGGTTTCGGTTTTTCTTGTGAGTGGCTTCTTACTTCTGTATCTAACTTTGTTTATTTGTTTTAATCGTTTTTATTACTCTATCTGACCTTTTTTTTTTAAACAGAAAACATCGTTACTCAACGATGGTGGCAGCGAGACCTGGGCCCGTGATTGCAATACATTACCATCATCTCAGTGTTATAACACATGTGTTAGTGCAGACGGTGTGACGGCCTGCGTACACTGCTGTACCGGCGATTTTTGTAATGGCGTCGGGGCTATCTACACCGTCAGTCTTCTAGCTACGATGTGCGGCAGCTTCCTAGCCGTCTTTGTCAGCCATTTCTGGTAGATGAGCAGTTGATCTTGAATCGAAGAGTGGGGGGGGGGGGGGGATTAATGTCACGGGACATTTAAACATAATAATAATAAATATAAAATAGAATATGTCCAGGGTGAAATTTTACAAAGGCGTTTGTGGTCAAAGACATAATGACCCGTATATTCTTCTAATTCATTTGAATAAAACCGACCCCGTGTCTACGATCATGTTTAACAAAAGGATAACTTAGACCTCAAAGTTCCTTTTATTTTATTTTTTAAATTACAAACCAATTTTAGGCAAACGCAGCGTCGGTTTAAAATTTTAGTAGAATACGGGCCATTTAGGATTAATATTTTAAGTTACTTTTAATTAGTTTGTGATTAACTGTTATTTCATTTATTCGTCCATTCATTAACATGAATGCAGCAGCTATTGTCTTCTTTGAGTGGTCTTGGCCCTAACAGATTGTGTTTGTTTGTGTGGGTAAGAACAGACACGGCCCCTTTGAGGGCAGTATATAGGCCTACTCGTTATTAAAATAGTCACCCTCTATGCAGAAGAGATAAAATAACAAATAGATAGATAACATTAGTAAATACTAACATAACATTTCCCCTTAAATTTTGTTTTGGACTTTTTGTTTTGTCTTGTTGCCAACCCCACTCGCGTTTTAGTTGCTTTTATAATGAAATCCCAGCTTTTCACTTTTTACCTACTGACCAAAAATCCTATACCGAGGAGAGATAGTTCAACTGGGGATCAAATTTATATTTTTAATGTAAAACCTCTATAATTACTATACAATTTGAAGCGTTAAAAGGAAATGCATCCTTAATAGCAAATTACTCTAAAATAAAGGAGGAAGATAAAAAAAGAAGACTGGTTAGAGTTTGTAGGGAATCGGACCAAAAATTAAAACGTTACGAAATTTTGAAAGCTGTGATCATTGTACACATTCAAGCTTCAAATTGGCAGTATCGTTAATGTCACTGTGATATAGTGCCGAAAAACGTTCACATTTGTTCCATTAAAACAATGTATGACGGGGATGAGCTTTTCTCTTTAGAGGACCTACAATATTAAACTAACCATAATACTGATGTTATTGTAAGTCTATACAATTAATGTAAACGGGACGTGTGTGTATTGCGCCAATGATTCGGATGATCGTGTATAATCATGTCTACTTATTATGTCATTGTGCAACTTTTCTAAAAGTTTAAATATTATGCTTAGAATAGGTGAAATAGAGAGCAGCATCATGTAATATTCATTAAGATAAATTTGTATAATCAAGATCATGAGAAACGAAAAGTAAAATAAAATTCTTATCGCTATGATGTTACTATTCAAAGAATTGTTTGTAATTATGTAGTGTGTGCATTGGTATTTGGACTTCGTGGTTTGTAATGAAACATCCACTACAGTGGGTTCACAATTCACAGCGCCATCTAGCGACCACCAGTGTTTAGTTGTTTTTACGTGATTCGTTATGGGAAAAAGTCGACAACCAGTTCACGGTTGCAGTCTGAGCATGATGAGCAGATAAAGGTCATTGCAGAACAAATTTTGAAATACACGGAGACGAAATCCTGGTTACGTGCTCATGAAATTAGTTATGTCATCATTATTCATTCATGCACAAGCAGTGAACTGCATAATACACAGGTGGAAGTATTCTCTGAAAAGGGGAAGCAAAGGCTATTTTAATATTTATATATACTAAACACCTCCATCGCTGTTGTAGTGATTATTTCAAAATGTAGCAAGTGAGACCTCTT